TATCCTGCCAATTGTTTAAACTCGAAGAAACAGACTCTTCTAAAGCTCCTTACATTACTGCCTGATGCCATATTCTGTTTGCACAAAGTAAATACAGACAAATAACAATCACTGGTACCTAGGCAACCGTGGGATTTCAGGTCAGCTATTAACTCTTCTTTATCTGCTAGAACAAGGTCAACTATTGATTTATTCCACAGTGGGTGCAGAACTGTGTGCATTAAAAAATGACCTATTCTTTCTAGAAGCTTTCTGGAAGTCTTTTTATTGGCATCATGAAATGTCAAGTAAATATTATCTGTTTTAAGCAGCCTATCTTATTTGCTTCCCTATAAGAAGTGCATACATAAAGAAACGTTTGCTCCTTTCCTGAGGATATCTCAGGGACGTGTTAGAAACACGTAATAGGTAAGAGATGGTTTGAAACCTGTATAACTTGAATTTGTCAGGAAACGCTTATGTCTGCAGCTCTCCCAAATGTTGATGGTTTAGAAAGTGTTATGTAATATCCATTTAATCACACATGGGACAACACGTCTTAAGTCCACCTCTACTCATGTCTGGACAAAAGCATCAGCTAATGTTCTGTGCCCCAGGACTGGGCTGACCTCTTGCATGCTGTTCCATCCTGAGGGGACTTCTTTACTCCCTTCCTCCCATCACATTTATTTCTTCCTCCACGGCTTTGCTGTCTACCCAATTCCTCTCTTTGTACAGTAGTTTGGGAAAATCACTCCAGGCAAGGATTTTGAGTCTCTCAGATATGACGTTGAGGAGATGTGACCTGACACTCAGAAGGGAGAAGGAGAAGACGGGGTTTACAGGCTAGCCACAGCTGAAGACTCAGACAACCATGAGTCCCCTGTAGGAGAAAGGGTTGGTTTCAGTGAGTCACCCAAGGGAAATCATCCTGATCCTGAAAAAGAAATAGGAGCAAGGAGGATTCAGAGAGAAATGCTCTCCTGCTTGAGGCTCTGAGCATGCTTAGAAGCAACACTAAGAGAAAAAGGGAGATGTGCAGGAGCTATTGATTATTTCCTTGGCAAAGTCACAAAGTTCTCTATTACAGGAAAAAGGCACATGTTTTTTACACACCAAAAGGTGAATGAAAAGATGAATGTTCTTCTGGTAGGCATACTTGTCAGCAAACATGGGGCCAGGTGAACTAGCAAAAGGTTTTATAGGGAATATACCATTTACCCCAGTTAATATCACATCACTGTGCTGGAACGTGAGATGATGTTCAGAGAGAAAAAAATAAACAACAAATAACTTGAGGAACACCAGAAACCAACTCATATAGCATATTTCACCACCCCTTTTATGTACAACAAGTGGCACCGTACGGGCCCAAAAAAGGATAGGAAACCTTAATGCAAGCAATTAGGTTGCATTTTCTACAAGTCACTTCTCAGGACAGCAGTTCATTGAAATTGCCTGGGTCTCCCAATCTGCAAAGCAGAGGTACGAGTCACCAGGACATGGATGTTCTTGATCATGGATGATCTCATCCATGTCCCCCACACCAGGAGCACAGGGAGGAACAGCATTAAGGTGAATAAGTGTGAAAGGGGCCAGTCGTCAAGCTGAGCACTGGTCCCAAGGGAAGGGGCAGCAACAACGTGAAACAATTTATGTCAGTGATGCAGCTCCCAGGAGAGGGGAGCAGCAGTAGCACAGAGCAGGACGTGCTAAATACAGACTGCAGCAGGTGGTCCAAGAACTGGCTGTGATTTCAGCAACCGGTTTATCCAAACCGGACGGAACTGCCTACCACTCAGCCCTGCAACATCAAAAAGCAAGCTAAAAAACACAAAAGCAGAACAGGTGACTGAGAAGATTCAGCAGTCGCAGACTGCCAGGAGATGAGTTTCACTCTGAAAACACTCCCACAGATGTCAAAGTGTGACAACCTAATATATGAACAACACAGACACAAATCCAGGCCTGTTGCAACAGAATCATGATTTTGGTTGGGACCTACCTCCAGAGGTCATTTAGTGTAACCCCAGCTCAAAGCAGGTCTAATGAGACCTGGTTGGCCAGGCTGTGTCCAGTCAAGTCAAATACCTTCAAGGACTGAGGTTCCACAACCTCTCTGGGCAACATGTTCCACTATTTAACCATCCTCACAGTAAAAAAGATATAAAAATTTTCCTGATATCTAATTGAAACGTCCCATGTTTCAACTTGTGTTTGTTGTCTCTCGTCTCATCATTACACACAACCAAAAATAATCTGGCTACATCTTTTCTATATCCTCTAACCAGGCAGGTGAAGACAACAAAACCAGAATCATAGAATTGTTCAGGTTGGAAAAGACCTTTCAGATCATCAAGTCCAATTGTTAAGCTAACAATGCCAAGTCCACCACTAAACCCTGTCCCTAAGCACCATATCCACGTGTCTTTTAAATACCTCCAGGGATGCTGACTCCACCACTTTCCTGGGCAGCCTGTTCCAATGCTTGACAACTCTTTCAGTGAAGAAATTCTTGCTAATATCCAATCTAAACCTCCCTGGCATAACTCGAGGCCATTGCCTCTTGTTAATCAAGAGAAGAGACTGACACCCCCCTCAATACAACCTCCTTTCAGGCAGTTGTAGAGAGCAGTAAGATCTCCCCTGAGCCTCCTTTTCTCCAGGCTAAACAATCCCAGTTCCCTCAGCCAGTCCTCATCAGGCTTGTGCTCCAGATCCTTCACCAGCTTCTTAACCTTTCTTTGGACACTCTCCTGCACCTCAGTGTCTTTCTTGTAGTGAGAGGCCCAAAACTGAACACAGTATTCAAGGCACGACCTCACCAGTGCCGAGTACGGGCAGATGATAGCTTCCCCAGTCCCGCTGGCCACACTATTTCTGATACAAGCCAGGATGCTCTTGGCCTTCTTAGCCACCTGGGCACACTGCTGGCTCATATTCAGTCGAGCAACATCCCCAGGTCCTTTTCCACCAGGTAGCTTTCCAGCCACTCTCTCCCAAGCCTGTAGCGTTGCACAGGGTTGTTGTGACCCAAGCACAGGACCTAGCACTTAGCCTTGTTGAACCTCATACAAAGGGCTTTGGCCCATCGATCCGGCCTGTTCAGATCCCTCTGTAGAGCCTTCCTACCCTCAAGCAGATCAACATTTCCACCCAACGTGGTGCTGCCTGTAAACTTACTGAGGGTGCAGCACTCGATCTCCTCGTCCAGACCATTGATAAAAATATTAAGCAGAACTGGCCCCAATATCACCCTTCTGCCTTCTCTTCTCAAAGTTGAACAGATCCAGTTCTCAGACTCTGCTCACACGCCATGTTCTCCAGCTCTCTGACCATCTTAGTGATGCCCACTGGGCTTGCTCCAGTATTTCACTTCAATGAAGTCCATTTCTTGCACTGGGGATCCCAAACAGGACACAGTATTCCAGATGCAGTCCAACAAGCGCTGAAGACAGGGAAAGGATCACTTCCCTGGGCCTGCTGGCCACTCACTGACACAGCCCAGGGTGCCCTCAGTCGCCTTTGCTGCTGCTTATATTTGATTTGCTGCCCATCAAGACCCCTGAATCTTTTACTGCAGATCTACCTAGACATCCACCTCCCAGCCTCTACTGCTGCAGGGGTTAGCCCCTCTCAGATGGAAGGCTTGAAACTCACTCTTGTCGAGTATCTTCGGATTCCTGTCAGGCCACTTCTCCAGCCTGGCCAGGTCCCTCTGAACAGCATTTTGTCCTCCTGCATTTTGACCACTCGTCTCCATTCGGTCTCATCCACAAAATAGCTTATTACAGACACAAAAAGTTTCAAGAACAAGGAGCAAAGATCTCTCACAACGTATAGCAATTGGGACTCTTGCCGAAGACCATCAGTGAGAAACTTTTAACATTTCTGCACATTTTGTTCACTTTGTACTGTCCAAGCTATGAGCAGATAAGCCAAATTCTTCTCTCATTTATAGCACTCTAAGCTTGAAGTCCATGAATTCAACACATTTACAATACTGTAACACTACTCTCCATGTGAGAGTGTGTGTGTATGCACAACCATACACACCCACACTGACAGCTCAAGAGACGCAACAACTGAAACAGGAATACTGCAGAATTTGGAGGAGCAGCTGGCTATGCAGTTAAGACCAAGGTATACACTCAAAGTCTAAGATGGCAAGAGGAACCTTAGCTTTGGTCTTTCCTGACTTGAGTCCTCTTGCACTGCATTTTAAACAGGCAGCAGCTGTTAACTTTATAAATAATAGCAAACATTTCTGAAGACTTTAAAACATGCCATCAACCAAGGATGCTACCATCATATCAACAAGTCAAATATTCATGATGATAATGATGATGACATATAGATAATTTCACCTGAAGGTTAGGACATGAGGCATCTAGCTCATTTACCTCTGTGTTCACGTGGAATGAGTCACTATCTATACGCACATGAACAACAAACTCTTCCTCAAAGAGCTTGCAAACTGAGAATGATGAATAGCATACAAAGATCAGGATAGACAAACTATTTGGTCAGAAGAAACAGAATGTATATCATACACAATGTAAAATACCATCTGACTTGCACTAGCTTTTCCACATGCAATTACTAGTTGGCCAATTCCTTGCAGCAATTTTTCATCACAGAAGTGGATCATGAGGAAAGACAAATATTTCAACAAGTTTCTAAGCAACTGAAAAACAGTGCTTTGCAAGGGATGTATTAAGTCAATGTTCAATCCTAGTCTTTACCGGGAAATAAGGTGAAGTTTCATTTGTGGGGGTTTTTTCTTTTGCCAAAACAATTGTTAGGTTACACTGAACATCTTGATATGAACAACACAGTTTTCATATATATTTACCAGCTGAGGTAAACACTACCAATTGTCCTAATCCTGCAGATACTTTACAGTGTGCTGATTAAATTGAGGGGGAAGAGCTTTTCAATCACAGGAATATACCAGCACCATGTGTCCCACCTGTGGGGAAGGAGAATCTGCCGCGCTTTAAAAGGCACTGGTAACTTACCCCAAACATCTGCCGAAGGTCAGGATCTCGAAAGCGGAAGGGAATGTTAGACACATGAAGTCGTTTTGGAGTGGATTTGCTCTCGGTATTCTCACTGCTCTGTGTCTGTGATTGCTGTCCATCTGTCTGTGCCCCTCCTTCTGTCTGCTGAAATCAGAAAGACAAAAGCATGTGCATGAATAGAAACCACACAATCTCCTTTCACGTGCTTTGTCTATCTCTTTTTAGGTATTAGTACTACACTTGCAATTGTGGTCTCTAGCACTTGACAATTATTTTGATAAAGCGAGTAACGCTTAACAATTGATCTGTTGTTCTTCCCCTCCCTTTCCGTGAGTAAACAGTAATGAGATCTCAGCCTCCCTCCTCTCATATCACCTTTTAGCCTCGGAGATTTGCCTTTGGTTTTCTTAAATTGCTTCTCTCTTTTCGCCTGTTCTTCTTCACTTCAGCTGCCACCATATGAAAGCGCTAATGAAGAGGCGGATCTTTCATATCCTGAAGCTGGGAGGTAGTACCGCCACTCTAATCTCATGTGGCAGGATGTTCATGCAATCATCAAAATCCCACAGCTGAAGTGGCAGCTCTTCACTGGGCCAATACCAGAAATGCATCCCCAGGCAAAACGGCATCTGCTCTGTCAAGCTCCCTTCAGAGGAACATTACCCCAGAAGAATATCTATAATTAAATGGTAACATCCATATATGAACAGATTACGGATGTCTTTGATTAACTCTTCTCATACGTTTAAAAGTCAATCCAGGGACAGGAAACAGCCATTACCACTGCAGGATTTATAAAAACTCTTGAGTGCTACTTTCTGCTATGAATGCCACAGCTAAAACAAGGGAGTTTGCTCCAGCATTGCCAAGCACTGACTGGTACAGCAAAGCCAGGCCAAGGAGTGGGCCAGGGGTACTTGCGTACAGAAACAGTACAGCAAGAAAGCAGAGGAACATGGGAGACCAGTGTGCCAGAGGGGAGCCTAACACCCCCAGAGGTGACTGGCAGCATAGAAGAAAGGAAGAGAACCTCAGCCGCTTGCGTTGGGGTTGGGCTTAGACTAAGAAATGGTAAGACTTGAGCACAGCACTAAATATAAAGGCAAGGCCCCTTTGCAAAATGGCTTGATGAGAAAATGGTATTTTTTGCACTTTAGCCAGAAAAATGACCTCAAAAACTCAGAGCTACAGAACAAAGCAGACTACAATTTGGTTAGTTTTATTGCTGTGTCCCTTTCCATGAACATACATTGACAGGCCAAGGTATTCAAAGAGCACCCACCCACTCACTCAATCTCCTGCTGCTTGCCTCAGTCTCCTAAGAGTCATGCTTTGACCACCTGCGTGATGCATTTTTAAGTGTCATTTTCATTTCTTTAGATGCCAACCTGACTTCTTCTTTAACCCATCAAGTGAAAAGAAGTTCTACGAGAAGGCAAGGACCATGTAATTGCTAGAGTCAGCCTGTTTCAGACATCTTCAAGAACAAACGCGAGCCTTAAAAATAAAGATTTAAGAGTAGGATTTTTGCTTTGCTGTTTTGGGGGCTTCTTTTTTTCCTGTTTAAAAACACAATTTGCATAGCAAAGAGGAAAGAAATCTCAGGAGAACTGTCCACACTGATTCTCTAACTACTGACAGGACTTGCTAGACTGCTCTGCACATCAATATATAACACTTTATGAATATTTGGAAAGAAACATCTCTCCACAGATAAACTAAACTGGCAACACTAAGAAAGCTTCTTCTGGCCAGGAAGGTCTCTCGCAGATATGACCTTGAACTTGCATATTGGTTACAAAGCACCAACAAGAGCAAGCAAATAGTAAGCACTGGGGTCTTGTCATGCTGAGCAAATCAGTGGCAGCTTCCCTTTTTATTTTAGTATGGCTGCACAGGCAGCACAAAACCTGTTTGATCTGGTTAACATAAATTAAGCTGAGATAGGAAGAATGAAGATACCACCCTGGCAAGTATCCCTACTTCCCAGAGCTGTGCAAGTCTCAGAAGTCTACTGGGATTATGCACTTTTGTTTGGCTAAGACTCATTCATCCCCCAAACATCAAATTTTCGAGAACAACTTCAGAAACTTCCACTTGATTGTTTCTAAAAAGCTACCTCTCCCTCTTCTCCTACCCCCAGCCCTACGACAAAATGCATCTCCAAACGTACAGAGAGTGCACCCTAGGGGAAGAACTGATGCAGCTGGCTTGCGATTAAACCGCACCATGTTATTTGGTGGCTTTATTTTTATGATTCCATCAGAGTCCTTTGCTCCTCAGGGCACATCTGTCCAAGAAGGACAAAATGCAGGAGCAGCCTATCCATCACCACTGTACACAGCACCTGCAAGCGAGTGCTCCAAAATACCTCCCCAGAATCGTCAACGCTCCTGTTAAAAGGGATCTCTACAATCCTGTTAAAAGGGATCTCTACAATCTATTTTGGAGCCCTGCTAGTGCAATTTGCCAAATACTGTGTTTTCCATGGCTTTGCATGGAATTGGCAAGTGGGCAACACCCATGTACACAGGTGCATTCTCAAACACACACACCAGCGCATCTTCTGCAGCATGAACGAGGAAAAGCACAGATTCAGAATGGTGATGAAAAAAATGTTTTAGTCTTTACATTCAAATATAGGTTGCACAGGACTGGATCTGCTGCTTCCATAGGGGTGGAAGCCGGGAGGTCGTTTGCACTCCTCTCCCATCCATTTGTTCACAGGCAGAGGGCAGAACTCCTTTCTTGTCAAGGGTGCAATACATCATGTACAGTGGCCCACTCAAAAACACTCGCAGCTGTTCCTGCATATGGCAGAGCGCTGCCACCACACAGGAGTCGTTTTGCAGCACGTGAGATGTGTACGGTAAGACACAGGCTTCAAAGAGGAGGGACAATAGAAGGAACAGGGGGTCTCGGTCCACTTTTACCTTTCTGAGTAAGGTAAGTGGACTTCTACACTAAGAGTCCCCACATGCTTCTCAGGCTTTCACATATCCTGATTTTTCAGCAATAGTTTAACATTAAATACTTTTCTGTTCGGATGCTATAGCTCCCTCATTTCTATCATCCGTGGCCCTAAGGTAAGATTTGAACTTTCAGTTACTATAACATTAGCTCAATACATTTGTCTTCTGCCACACATTCAGCTATAACATAAATGAAAGAAACCGTCTCCTCAGATCTTGCCTTTTTTTTTTTTTCTCTCCTTTTATAGTTATTCCTTGTCTTAATTCATTAGGAAGGAGATGAAAGGAAGGGCCTGGAGCCTGTTCTCAGGCAGCACATAATGGAGACTGGCAACAGTGCTACCCTGACCAAGCCAGATGATAAAAAGCCCACATTTCACCGGATGCCCACTCCCCACCCTGTCTCCTTCCCCACACTGAGTTCCAGCTCCTTCCTTCTGGCCTCACATCAACACTTCACAGCAAAGAACTGGTCCTCTCCCTTCGCTACAGACAGCAATCCAGCTTAGAGGGGAGCCAACACATGTTCCCTAGGTCTCAATGCCTGTCATCAGGCAACACAGAGACACGCTGCGGCAAAGATCCTGTGTTTAGAAACAGTGTTGGGTCCACCTTACCTCCTCAGCATAGTCTGTGTAACGCATACTTATGCAGGTGATAATGTCATTCACGCCTGCACACGCAAGCTCTGAGCTCTGCTCAAGGTCACTGAGAAATGCATCAGAGCTCAGGACACGCACAATATGTGCTTTGCTTTTAACTGCTTGCTGCCTGTGCCCCCGTGCCAGCTCCTCCCTGGCACTCACCAGCAGTGAGGAAACCCTGAGCAAGAAGAGGCAGCTGCAAAGAGAAGCATGCATGTATGCATGTAAACGGGGAGGACACCTGGCAACAGGAGGGTGTTCAGAAAGGTCTGAGGGCAGCTCTACGACCATCTTCCCACCTCTTTACTAGACTCTCCTGTCCTAAGGCAGCTGGTGAAAAAGCAATTGCTTGGGATTTCTCCTCAGTGGGAGGGAGGCTGAGGCTCCAGCACCACCCGAGCTCCAAGCAGATCTCTATCTGCGTGGTCAGACAGAGGGCTACCTCCCCGACAAGTCAGACAAACACCAGTGCGACAGGCCACCACATAGACTATTCATACCCAGCACGTTCTGTTTCCATCTCCCATTTGCTTCTGGAACTGAAACTGCTTCCGGTCCAAATTATAAGAAAGCAAAAAACAACCCCCCCCATCCTGTCCCCCAGGACGCAGGCGGTCCAAAATGTTGTGAATCATAATGAGGAGGTTAAGAGCCATAAATCACCGCAAAGAAAATATTTACAAAATACAAACTATAACTAATAACTATATTTAAAAGAAGACTTGGGTGGCTTACAAGATCTGGGAGACAGATTGTGCTCACTCCGCTGCTTCTAGACAAGTCTTGGATTTAAAAAAAAAAAAAAAAAAAGAGAGACCTTGTTTGGATCCAGAGCTTGAAGAACTCTGTGGAGACGACGACTGAAAGCTTTGACTCGCAGAAGGCAAGCTTCCCACCGCAAAGGAGAATGCAGACAACGTGGGAAGATCTCTGTAACATTTAGTGAAGAACCCGCGTCAAAACAACCAGTCACCCATCAATGAACTGATATCCACTGAGCAGGTTTGGAGGAAAAAACAAGTGAAGAATTAGGCACTAGACACTAAACTCCTCTCCTGCCCCACCACACTCTGCCAGAGTAGGACTGAGGTCCTACACATCCAAGAGCAAAGAGGATGAGAACTTCTGCTGTTTAAATGACACTTGTTTAGCAGACAGAAGACCACATGACTAATAATCACCTTTCAACAGCAGTAAGTATAATTTTAGAATTATATCCATGTACTTGATTTCTCACAGATGCCAGCAGTGTTATATTAAAAAAAAATAATATTGGGCTACACTACAGGCACAATTAACAATGCGCCCAAGTACTTTGTATGCCAAAAACTGGACAAAAAAATTGCTAAGGATGTAACAAAAAACTCTGCTAAGCTTTTAACTATTTTTAATATAATCAGATTAATTCAAGGCATATTTTTTCTGATTGACAGTTACCTGTTTTCAGACGTACTGAAGCTTAAGTAATTTTGTTCACTTTCCTCCTTAAATACAGATATACCCCACCTGAAGCGAGAAAACAAACCTA